TAAAAAGATGAATAATAAATTATCTCTGAATTTGAGAAACTCAAACCAGCAAAGAAACCAAACACAAAAAAAAAATCATAAGACAATGTGATCACTGTTTTAATAGCTGGTATGAAGCAGGGATCCACAAACTTTTTTGTAAATGTTCTAGGCTTTGCAGGCTATCTGTCCCGACTACTCAACTATGTCCTTGTAGCACAAAAACAACAATATAAAAATGAATGGAAGGAAGAGGAAAAGAGGCTTAATGTTTATCATAAAACATAAGAAATTCTAAATTTACGTTTACTGCTTATTAGTGATTCAAAACAGATGGAAGAACACTGCTTTCAGGAGCAAAGATGCATCCTCATGAAGATTTACCTGTATCAAATATGTCAAGCAGATTAACCAAAGTTTCAAAAGCTGCAAGTCGCACACTGCTGCCTTCATCCCCGGAGAGTTCTATTAATTCAGGGAGTACCACACTTTTTGTAAGTTCTGTCCTGCACAATAAGTAATAGAAGAAAATAAATCAAATTAATAAATTTGTAGCAAGAACTTACTAGAAACAAGCACTGGGCTAGGTGCTGCAGAAAATATGAAAAATCATAAAGATATTGTTCCTGCTCTCCAGAAGCTTACAGTCTGGTTGGAAAGCATGAAATAAACATAAGAAATATTAACAGTAATTTCTCAATTATTTAAATCAATTCCACTCTCCCCAGCATAACATTTTTATCTACAGAGATAACAGAATATAAACTAGGAGTTTATATTAAACTTTATAAATTGTAATACAGGTTTCCATTTTAAGCAACTTCACCAAATAATCTGGATTAATTAGAAAAACTTATCAGTAGTAATTGCAGAAACCCAAATAAAATTTTTTTATCTAGATTTCAGGGCATAAATTGTTTTTCCATTCACCTAAAACATGACATTATAACTACAATTTCTATACAGAAGAATGATACATGACCCTAGATGTTTCACCTAAAAGAATGAAATATAAATACTTTCAGGGTATATATAATATTTATAATACAATCGCCAATAGTTCTTATTCAATATGATCACAAATAGTTCTTATTTAACCTGTTTCTGCTTATTCCTCACGATAAGATGTCATTGCAATGATACACAAACTCTGATAAAGAAGAGGCTTATGATGTGGCCAGCTTTCTTGGATACAAGATGGAAGCTGGCATCAATTATATTGGCATAAGATGTTGATATAGTCCAAAAAAGTCATTAAGAGCTGTAAAAAAAAAACTAAAAAAATAAAAAAAAAAACAGGCAAAACTCAAAGACTCTAAGACAATGCTGTCAAGTAGAACTTTCTACAACAATGGAAAAGTTTCTTATCTGTGCTGTTCAACAGGGTAGCCACATGTGGCTACTGAGCATCTAACATGAATTTAGTATGACTGAAGAATTAAAGTTCTAATTTTAATTTCACTTAATTTAAATAGCTACATGTGGCTGGTGGCTACAATATTAGACAGCACAGTGCAAAGACAAGGACTTAAGCAACTGGAGGGACAAAAAATTGTTTTTAAGATGTCAATCTACATCATACAGAATCAGATGTAGCATTACCAATAGTTTATAAACATTCATCAAATACTGGCCATAGATAGGGGAGGTAAAAGAGCAAAAGATGAGAGAACATATCCAAATGTTGTTTAAATTCATTTCATATAAATTTTGCTCAGAATATATATGTATCAACTACTGAAATCCTTGAATTTATTAACAATGAAAGAAAACAGTTTAAGATAAAGAATTTCATCTCTATTTACAGTCAAAGTTATTTCAATTCAATCTTTAAACAGTTTTCTCTCTTTCTCCAAAACATATTATAGTCAGGCAAATTCCATTTAATTATTTTTGGGTATTAAAAATGAAAATAATAAAAATTAATAACCCTTTCATTTCATTAATTGTTCTTTTAGCTTCAGGATTTGTGTTTGATTTTTTTCTAAATTTCAATCTCTCTTAAATTTCTACTTTTAGCCATTTATTATTTTCCTGATTTCAGTGAATTGTTTCTCTGTATTTACTAATAACTCTTTAGTAGCTATAGAATGTTTCTTAGTGCTGAAGATAGGGAAAGTGAATACATTAAATCTGTATTTCAATAGTAGTTTCTAAGGACATGTCAATTTCAACCTACCAAGCTAGCTGGGGATTTTCTTATTTCCAACTAGGTTAAAGCCACTAAGAACTACTTATACTACATATTAAAAAATCAAACAACCCCATTAAAAAGTGGGCAAAAGACATGAACAGAAATTTTTCAGAAGAAAATAGACTGATGGCTAACAAACATATGAAAACATGCTCTACACATCTCTAACCATCAAGGAAATGCAAATCAAAACCACATCGAGACATCACCTAACTCCAGTGAGAATGGCTTTTATCAAAAAGTCCCAAAACAACAGATGCTAGTGAGGATGCAGAGACAAAGGTACACTTACACACTGTTGGTGGGATTGCAAACTAGTACAACCTCTGTAGAAAGTAGCATGGAGATAACTTAAAGAACTAAAGAAGTACACCTAACATTTGATCCAGCAATCCCACTACTAGGTATTTACCCAAAAGAAAAAAAGACACTTTATAAAAAAGACACTTGCATTCGAATGTTTATAGCAACACAATGCACAATCACGAAGATATGGAAACAACCCAAGTGCCCATCAATACATGAATGGATTAATAAAATGTGGTATATATATACACCATGGAACACTACTCAGCCATAAAAAAAATGGTGATCTAGTTTCTTTTGTAACAACCTGGATGGAACTGGAGATCATTCTTCTTAGTGAAGTACTGCAAGAATGGAAAAACAAACACCACATGTACTCAATACTAAATTGGAACTAACTGATCAACACTTATGTGCACATATGGAAGTAAAACTCAAGGGAAATCAAGCAGGTTGGAGGGAGGCGGAGGGGATGGGTAAACTCACACCTAACTGGGTGAAACACACACTTATAACTTTGACTCAAAGTGTACAAAAGCAAATTATGTAACCAATATGTGTGCACCCCATAAAATTCTAAAATAAAAAATAAAGGAACATTTTTATATGTTCATTATCAAAATTTAGAAAACACAAAAAGTATAAAAATAAATTAAAATCATCTATAACACTCAGAGAAACTTTGGAAGTTTCAATTAATTTATAATCTATATCCTTTCAGATTTTCATTTTCTCATATTATATACATCTTTGGGCTTCAACTTCCTTGTTTGTGAAAAACGAGTAACAATACAGTCTATCCAATAGGATGGTTGTGAAGATAGTTAAGTTCATATACGTAAAGTACTTACAATAGTACCTGGCACAGAGTAAACACTATGTTTATTCTCTTACCATTATTTCATAAATTTTGAGACAAACATCTAATTCCTTAGAATCATTTCTAATAGAATAATATCAGTAAAAGAATAGCAAAATTTTGATACATATTATAGAACTCAGAAAGATCATAAGTTTATGTTTCTCCCAGCAGTACATGAAGATGTTCCTGCGCCTTTGCCAATAATGTAGATTTCTCATTAACTTTTACAATTTCATTGATAAAAGTAGTTTACTTGTTTTTGTCAACATCTCATATTATTCAATAACTATCTACTTAATTACATCTCTTACCAAACTCTAAGCAACTTGAAGACAGAATTATCTTTTCCACTATTACATCATCCATATGAATCTATTGCTTACTTACAGTAGTTGTTCAATATATGTTCATTAAGTGAATACATTTCTCTGTATTAGTTCAACCAATGAGGCTGAACTAATATATGTTTATTAGCCACTTGTTTATCTTCTTTATGAAGTGTATTTTCATTTCCTTTGTCCATTTGTCACATTATATAAGTTTAAGGCATCATGGCAGACCATATACGATGCAAATATTTTCCTTCTTTCATTAGTTCTTCTTAGCAAACTGGATTATAGCTTTGAGTAATTTTTTTCAGGAAGTAGGTGTATACTGCCTAAATTAGAATATTCATGAAAATATCTTTTTCTTGCCTTCACATGTAAATCCCATACTAGCTAGGGCAGAATTCTAAGTCATGCTCCTCTCCACTAAAAACCCTCTGGCATTTAAGGTTATGGAACAGAAATCTGAGAACAGCTTGATTCTATTATCTTTGTAGGAGCCCAGTTTCATTAACCTAGATGCCAGTAATTACAATCTAACCCTTCCATGATGTTATAGGGGGTAAAACACAGGATCATGGATAGCAAGATGAATGAAATAGCAAGATGAATGAAATGGCAAGCCTGCCCAGCTAGCCAACCAGGAATTCTAGGGTCTGGTTGTATGGTGTAAACTTGCCAGGGGTTGGCTAACTTTGGTGTCATCTGATGGTAGACATGTGCTCCAGCTTAAATAGTGATGATAATGATTCTGAGTTCTATGGTCGGCCAGGACAGCAGGACAACAGCAGCAATTCAAGGAACCTTCTCATTTGTTTGCACCTTTTACACTGGCCTGCTCCAAGGAGACTAGGCCTAAAGAAAACACTAAAGACCCAGTCATCTCCATCTCTCTTTTCACAAGATGAAGGTGCCTCTAGTGTTCACCTACACGTTCCCCCTCCGTCAACAGCCTTTTCGATCTGACAAAAGTCAAAAACACAGCAGAGGATAAGAACCAACCATCAATCCTATTACATCTGAATTTGAATTATTTTGAGGGTTTAGTACATTTTCTCACTAAAAGTCAAAAAATTAAAATGTAAAGATATTAGCTTATTTGATTAATATTACCTACTATTTGATGAATTCCTTCAATCTTCAGACTCGGGCCTTGAAAGAAGTTTTTTCTTCCACCTTGTCTCTACTTATTGCATCTCTGTCATATAAGGTGATCACTTCATCATGAATATCAGCTGTTTGTATGTTCAGTGGTCCCCAACCTTTCTGGCACCAGAGACCAGTTTCACGGAAGACAAGTGTTCCACAGACCAAGGGGGAGGTGTTGGGGGGTGTTGTAGGTGGGGGACAATGGTGCTGAGCCCAGGCCATGATATGCTGCCCATTTCCTAAAGGCCACGGATCCCAGGGGTTGGGGACCACAGTGTTAGATCGTTCTTCCCTTTACTACATATCTAATATCTTGTCTCTAAGCAATTCCATACATTTATCCTTTTCTTCTGAATTCTGAGAGAGCTAATTCATCTTCTAAGTCACTGACTGACTACAGTTTTTATCAGTGCTTAACTGTTTACTATGCTTATTTGAATTTTTCTATTCCATTTTTAATTTCCTTTAAAATATCTCTTAATTTTAACCAGATTTTTTATTTTCTTCTTCCTTGGCAACTTTCTCATCTCCCTATGTCTCATCATCAAATTTTCAATCTTGTTTTACAGCAGGGAGGCTTTCTAGAATTTTGTTGAAAATAAGTAGATGGCTTATTAATTTTCTATCAGAGTAAATTTTAGTTTTTTATTTTGTTTTCTTGATTGTTATTACCTATAGTGAAGAACAATTTAGGTAAAATAAATCATCTATTTCAAGTACACACTTATTGATGAGTCTTGACAGTTGTGAAACACCTGTGAAACTGCCACTACAATCAAGACATAGAATGTTTCTCATTCCCAGAAGATTCCACAATCTGCCTCTGACAAGGGCAACCATGGATCTGCTTTTTGTTACTATAGATTAGTTAGCATTTACCATACAGTATATATTCTTTTGTCTGGCTTATTTTCCTTAACATCCTGATTTTGAGATTCATTCATGATGTAATACTGCATGTATCAGTCTTCATTCCTTTTTATTGCTGAACAGTGTTCCATTGAACAAATGTACCACATTTTGTTAATACATTTACCAGCTGATAGACATTTGGATTGTTCCAGTTTTGGCTACCACAAATAAAGCTGCTATAAACATGTGTATATAATACAATGGTCGGTGTGGACACATATTTTCACTTCTCTTGGATAAATACTTAAGAGTGGAACGGCTGGGCCATATAGTAGATGTATGTTTAGCTTTTCAATAAATACCAATCAGTTTTCCAAAGCATTTTCACCATTTTACTTTTACGCAAGCAATATATGAGAATCCCAATTTGCTCCAAATCCTTATCAACACTTGGTATTAACAGGTTTTTTAGTTTAGTCATTCTAGTGAGTGTGTAGTAGTAACCTATTATTTTTTAACTTGTATATCCCTTTATGATTAATGATGCTGAATATCTTTTCACATACTTTTTGGTCAATGTGTTTTATATTGTCTTTTATGACAAGTCTGTTCAAATGTACTGCTCATTTCTCAACTAGGCTGTTTGTAAGAGTTCTGCATTATTGAGTTGGAAGAGTTCTTTACATATTCTGGGTACAAGTCATTTGTTTAATATATGTGTTATGAATGGTTTGGCCATTCTGGGCCTCCCTTTTTATTTTAAAGAGCAAAAGCATTTTGTTTTTTTTTTATATATATAAAGTCTAATTTGTCACATTTTAATTTTACAGTTCATGGTTTTTAATTAAATAATCTTTGCCTAACCAAAAGTCAAAGATTTTCTCCTCTATTTTCTTCAAGGAGATTTATAGTTTTAACTTTCGGATTTAGATCTATAACAGATTTCAAGTTAGTCTTTCTGTATGATGTGAAGGGAGAGTCAATGCCTGGTTTTTTTCTCTTATGGATATCTAGTTATTCTAGTGCAGGATTTTGAAAAGATTTTCCTTTCCTCATTTAATTGCTGTAGCACTCTCTTAAAGATCAACCAATCATATATGTGTAGGTCTATTTCTGACCTCCCTCATCTGTTCCATTGACCTATGTGTCTCTTTTGCCAACATTACATTCTTTTGATTACTGGAACTTTATTGTAAATCTTGAAATCAGGCAATGTAAGTTCTTTGTCTTTCTTTTAAATTGCTTTGGCCATTCCAGATCATTTGCATTTCCTTATAAATTGTAGAATCAGCTTTTCAATTTCTGCAAAACAGTCCAATTTGGATTGAGATTGCATTAAATTGCTGGATCAATTTGAGGAGAATTGACATTATAACAATATTGAGAATACTGAGTCTTCTAATCTATAAATATGGTGTATATCAATTTATTTGTCTTTTAAAATTTTCTCTCAAAACTGTTCTGTGGTTTTTCAGTGCAGAGATAGTGCATGTCTTTTATTAAATTTATCATAAATGGAATATTTGAATTTTTATTTTCTGAATATATTCTTGTAGTATATAAAAATGATTTTTCATACTAACCTTATATCTTGAAACTACAAGTCTATTTATTAGTTTTAATAGTTGTTTTGTAAATTACTATAGACTTTCTATGTAAACAGTGATGTCATCTACAAACAGAAATCATTTTACTTCTTCCTTTCAGATATTTAGGCCTCTTAGGATTTTGTTTTCTTGCCTTATTTCAATGACTAGAACCTCCAGAACAATGCTGAATAGAAATGATAAAAGAAGACATCGTTGCCTAGTTCTTAATTTATCGGGGAAGGTAGTCAATATTTACCATTAAGTATGATGTTAGCTGCAGTTTTTCATACATGCCTTTTATTAATATCAGATTAAGAAAGTTCCTGTTACCCATAGCTTCCTGTGAAGTTTCATCATGAATGGATATTGAATTTTTTCAGATATTTTTATGACTTTTTGGTTATCTTGTTTGTCATATCACCAGCACTAGAAGTTTGATCAACTTTATCAAAAGTATGTTCTTCCTTTTCAATTTGAATGCTATGTTCTTCCCCTCTGCCACTGGAGGATCTTTTTGTAGATCCCATGTTTGTTTCTTTTATTTTTTTCCTTTTAGTCATCCCTGATCAAGGAGAGGTCTATTCAATGCTGTTGTTTTCCTGTAATGAATGTGACCCAAAGTCTTAAATAATGACCCAGATTTTTAAAAAATTAACAGTGGTACAAAAGGTCACAACATGATTGTTCTTACTTGTGAAACAAAAAACCAGATGAAATCAGTGCAACTTCTACTAAAACTAAGAGGTGCCAAAATATTTCCCAAGATGGTTTTTAGATAAAACTCCCTTTGATATCATACTTATAGCTTGACATGGGATCAGTTTTTATAGGTGAAGAGAAGAGGTTGGCTGTCTTATTCCTCCCCATCCTGAGCTTACGCAGAAAGCAACAAAGTGGGGGTGGAAGCCTGGAGCTCCACAGGAGACACAAAAAAGCTCCCATCAGAGCACAGTCAGTCCTCCATATCCATGAATTCCACATTCGTGGATGCAACCAATCACAGATGGGAAATATTTGGGAAAAAAATGATGTCTGTACTGAACATGTACAGACATTTTTGGTCACTATTCCCTACACAATACAGTATAACAACTATTTATGTGGCATTAACATTATATTATTGTATTAGATATTATAAGTCATCTACAGATGGTTTTAAGTATATGAGATGACATGAGTAGGTTATTTGCAAATACTACACCATATTACATCAAGGACTTGAGCATCTCTGGATTTTGGTATCCACTAGAGGTCCTGGAAACAATCCCCCATGGATACCGAGGGACAATTATAATCCCATTTGAAATGAACCGATTCTACAGCATAGAATAGCCAGCCAAAAGAAATGCTACAACTATATTCCAAGCATCATTTATATTGGGACATTTTCACTTCCTGGCTCTAGGTGTTTGGAATGATAACTAAGTAAAGTGAGAAGAAAAGAAATCAAAAGTAACGGAAAGCTTTCCACCATGCTAAACAAATTCTCCTTTATCTCGCTTAATCCAGACACATGAGGAGGTACTTGTTATGATCATTTTTAAAGATCATATAAAGTGTAGCCTTTCAGTGGCATGCTTTCATGGAATACATGAATAGGATATGCTTGCCTGAAAATCCCAAAATAAGACTATGGCATAAGGAACTGAAAGTATACTTACCCAATGCCCTGAGCTATATTTTCTAATTGCCGACACATACAAGATCGAACTTCATAGTCTACATCTTGACAGAGTGATTTTACCAGGGGAAGAATTTCTCTTTTAATGCTGATGAAGCAGAGGAAAGAAACATGCAAATGGGTGAATGTTTCCAAATAATTAATATTTTCAAACAATTATTATCAAAATCTTATCTTAAAAAGAACAAATATATTTTAATATAAAATTTTAGAGTTTGTGTTTTTACATGGATTATTAAATTTGGATGTTATCATCAGCTATTTGTAAATTATGTACATGACAGGGTCTTTTTAAAATAATGGTTAACTTTGGATTCGCAGCTGAACGTCTATAGCTGAGAATGCTAAGTAGTACCATATGTGATTCTAGCAACCATCAACCAAAATATTCTTCAAGTTTACATGTTACTCTTGTGTCATAATTATATAATATCTCATTCCTTCCATTTGGTATTTATCATCTGGGCAAAGAGTAGCATATGAATTATAAATGTGCTCTACAAAATAAATTATTCAAAATAACGAATTCATAACAATAATGTAAGAAAGCAGAAATTCTATCTTTATGCCATGATTACTGATTTTGGAAGTAAGATAATACCCTTTTATCCTCAAAAGTCACTTAGTATGGAATGGGGAAGACTAAGACAGGAAGTAGGAAAAAAGTTAACCTTATCAATTTTGAAAAGCCATGAGACTGAGAAGAAATAGGTAGTCTGAATAGGTAGACTTCTGTCTGAGAATTCTATAAAGTTCAAATAACTAAACTTGTATACAGTATGGAAAAATACAAATCTAATATAAATGTTAATCATATAGTCATTACACATTTTAAATCAATTTCATAAAACAGATAAAAAATTATATACAAATACTCACATATGGGCATCAAATTTGTTAGTCAATTTTCCTAAAATTTTACAACTAACTAAACGAGACTGGACAGTTTGGGAAAGTTGTGCCTTGGAAACAAGCGGATTCAAAATCTAAAGAGAAAAGATTTAGAGAACAAATTCACAAACTTTTATACATTCTTGCCACTAATGTCAGCTATTCTCTTCAAAGAGTATCTTAATGTTCTAAATTTTTTAAAGAACCTGAATTACAATTTGAGGTATATGATTTTTCATAACCTGGATCACTTTATCATCTATTAAAGATGACAAATTATGCAATTAAAAACAATTAAAACAAAAAACTGAAGTAAAGTTATGGTGAATTCTGCAATGAGCTGTATATATACAGACAAAAGTATAATTTTGAAAGATATATTTTAAAAAGAAAAGTGCAAAAATTACCAGATACCCTGAAATTTATTTTATCTTTATCCTATATAGATTAATTTTATATTTATCCTAATGAGATCAAAAACATTACAGCTTCAAATAAATCATGTTAAGTAATTCTGTCATTTGAATACACAACAACCCAGGTCTGACACTGTATTATATAGATACTGGGCACTCAAAAACTCAACAGCATGATAAACTGTAAAAAACCATGAAGATCAGACTCTGGTTCTAGTCCCAGTTCTTTAGTTTGTCCAAATAATCTTGCTATTTCTCATCCCAAGGTTTCTCATCTACTTAAAATGAAGATTAAAATGCTATACTCAGATATCTTCAAGTTCTAAAATTCTATGATCTTAATAAAAGGGTCAACTAGTTTGTTTTCTCTCAACAAAGTGTCCAGAATTACTGAATACATAATGAAAAATATAATTTAAAAGTGAAAGGTTTAAAATAAAATAAGATACATACTTAAAATCTTTTTAAAAAAACCCACATGTTAAATAATATATGGTATTCTGGAGTAAAAACTACATTCTACTGCATATCACTCTTCAAAAATATAAATACCACATGTCTACATTACATGCAACATTTAAATACGTGTAATCATCTAGATGTTTGGCATCAAGTACACAAATATCCTTATAACTGGATAAATCTTCCCATTTTTAAGCAATTATTTTGGCACCACGACAGACCCATAAACTATGTGAGGGCAAAGAAAGAACAAAGACAATGATGAAATCAGTAGAGGACATTTCAATGACTGAAAACTGTTTTTTTCAACTACAATATGTTTGGAAGGAAATAAACATAGGGATAATGTTCAAAGAATGTAAAATCATTCGATTAGAGGATAATAAATTTCCCATCTATTTTTCCTATTCTCTCATTTTAATTTACTTAAAACCTTTAGAGAAGGGTATACTGTTCAATGTTGAAAATTAATAGGCAAACAACAAATTGGGAATTATATTTGCAACAATATTTGCAAGTATAACAAAGGATTAGGAACCTTTATAGGTAAATAATACATACAAATAGTGATCAAAGGGTAGGATCAGACAATGCCAAAAGAATAAACAGAACTTATATAAATATAACGTATGGGAAAATATTCAACAGCATAACAACAAAAAATTTTGGACCATCAAATTAAATTGGAACACTAGTGCTGATAAAAGTCCAGGGAAATAGCATTTTCACATATTATTAGTCAAGAGTTTAAGAATATATCAATGCCCTCTGACCCAGTAATTCCACTTTTTTGGAAGCTACAGTTAAAGAAATTAACTGAAAAGCAGAAAACGCTCTCTGGAGATGTTCATTAATGCCTTATTTTGATAGTAAAATTTAAGCCTATAAACCTGCTTAAATGCTTAACAAGTAAAATATTTTGTAGCTACTACCAAACAAGTTGGAAATAATAGAGGAAAATAAAACTAAGTGAAAAACAACCATACATAAACTCAACACGATCACTAATATACCAAGCAGCAACCATATATGTGTGTGTGTATATATACATAAATATGAATGAAAAGAAATCTGAAAAGAAACACATCAGAATCTTAGAAGCGGCCAAGTACAGAACTATGAATTATTTTTCTTCATTTTCCATATTACTTAAATTTTCTACAATGCACATGTGCTGCTTTCTGAAGGGAAAACTTTATTCCTTTTCTAAAAATGATTTTTGTCAAAAAATCATAAAAATAAAAAGCCTTAGAGTGACTTAAAAAAGTATTACCTCATGCCTTAGGGTTTCTTTTGGCAATACTTCTATAACAGACAGAAGAGTTTCCAACCATGCATTGCTGACACCTGATTGACACAGATGTAAAATGCTAAATTAAATGTCTCACAAATTCAGTTTCAACTCAGCCATTAACAGTTACAATAGCATTTAATGATAAAATGGAAAAAATTATTTTATTACTTTTCTATGAAGTTTCTCTATTATTTTCTCTTAGCCAACATCTAGAAAATTTTTATATTTATAAAAATAATATTAGGAAGATATCTCTAAAGCAAAGTATTCTTTTTTTGCTGTATAATAATACTATAAACATGTTGTAAAAAGGAAGAAGAAAGCTAAGAAGAAAGTATAGATCATAAGATGACCTAATGAGACTTCAGCTTTCAATAATACTGAATTTTGTGGGTTTTGGGAGGAGACAGCCGTGACTATATTATGTCATACAACTACTCATCTCTTGAACAGCACGGCCTCATACAGTTATCCTCGTCAGGCTAACAATTCAAATAACCTTATGGTCATATACAAGAAACAATAAATAAATATATATTTAAGCACTCCAGGCCCCTGACCTGTGTCTCTGTGCTCCAGATGCAGCAAAATGACTTGGAGGAAAGAGTGGGCATATGCATGGATCGACACTGACTCTTCCTGTAGAATGGTCAAAAATGATACCGCAGCCGTTAACTGCATTTCCACTCCTGCAACAAGCAGGACTTCCTGTGTAATCAGAAAGAGTTTGCTATTTACAAATGAGAGATCAGAAATTATAACTTTTTAAAAATCCAAGATTATATAAACCAAACACAATCATAGTCCACAAAATTACTATATATGACCTTCAAGGATATGTACTTCTTCCTATTACTTTATTTAACTGAACTACATTATCTGCTGATCATTTAACTCATTAGACTACATAAAATTTGAATGTCTTAGGAATTTATAAAATAAAGTAACATTTCATTGCTTTATTGAATGAAAATTATAAATAGTTCATAAACCTTTAAACAATAGAGTAGGCATTTTTGATAGATTTCAATTTCTATTTTGCTGTTTATATTATAGTTTGTCATCCTACCTAGAACAATGTCAAAGCTCAATCAAGTGTTTTCATTAATTGTACTTCTGCTTCAAAAACTAAACATTATACATTCTACTACAAAAAGGAATATACTTAAAAGTGTACAAATATATCTTCCCCTTTAACAACTGGTAGGAACATAAATTACCATGAAGTAAACTGTTTTTAAAAAAGAAATTCTTAAATATAAGACCATGTTTTTAAAAATTATATTCACAGCCACGTTCGTGTACCATTTAAAGAATTTTAAAATGCATATTCAAAATTAAAGCCTAGATAAGAATATTAGTTTTCAACACACCCACAAATTTTTTTAAAAAACTATCTTTCTAAATAAACCCCAAAGATATTACCTATACGTCTCTAAAAGTGTGTAGATCTGTATGTAATGTAAAGGCAGCTAAAAGTATTATTTGCTCAATCTATTATAATTATTAACATGAGAATTTCCTTTGTATGCCTATTTTATAACTAAAATAATAAAGTTAGTAGAACAACATGGAACTTATAGTCATAAAATAAAGTTTCATATCTATGATCTTAGGAAAATTAATTTTTCTGCATTATTTCCTAGTATATGGTGTGAATTATAACACCATCTTAATAGAGATTTAAATCATTTAGATAGAAATTTATGACTTACCAACTTATTGTTCAAAATGAGCATTTAAATAATGACCATTGTATATCCAGCTGTCGCCTCTCTACATTACCCTTGAATATCTAAGTAGGAATCTCATGTTCTTCACACCTTAATTGATCTCCCCCCAAAACCTGTTCCTCCTGCAATCTTCCTCATCTCAGTAAATATTAAATGAAAACTCAGCCCTTCCAGCTGCTCAGTCCAAACACTTTGGGTCATCCTTAACTCTTCTCATTCCCTCACTCTTCCCAATCAAAAGACCAATAAATCCTGAAAGGATCCTCCTTCAAACCAGATCCAGAATCTGACCACTTATCACCTCTACCACTACTGCCCTAGTCAAAGCCACCACCATCTCCAGCCTGTATTATTCTAATAACCTTTAACAAGTCCCTGATTCCATCACTGCCCCTCTACTATCTATTCTCTATGCAGCAGCCAGAGAGTTTCTTTTGAGAAGTAAGTCAGATTGTGTCACTTTTCTGTTCAAAATGTTCTGAAAGCTTTCCATCTTACCCAAAGGAAAAGTCAAAGTCCTTTTAATGACTTACAGGATATTTTCTCAATTCCCCCTTTTCCCAGATTTCCATATGGCTGGCTCCCTGACCTCTTGCAAGCCTCTACTCAAATATCGTCTTTTTAATGAGGCCTTCCCAATGAACCTACTTTATACTGAAAGCCATCCCCTTACACCAGCTCTCACCATCCCCTTTACAGGTTTACTCATCACCATCAGCCAACACATAACATATTCATTTGTTCATGGTCTATCTCCCACAACCGTACCATGAGCTTCATGTACTCCCATCTCCTAGCACACAGCAGGCGTTCAGCAAGCAATCGCCTAAGCAATCCCTGCAGGACTAAATGTCTTTCACCCTTCCACCTACACTTTCTGTTCTTGATGCTCTCTCCCTTCAAATACATTTTCCACATCTAAAAGGTAGTTTCAAGAGATTTTGAGGTGAGTCCTAAAAATTAGGGATTGGCAAAATTAGAAGGCAAAGCAAAAATGAGTCACAAAGAAATGCACTCTCAATCCTCTTATCATGTCCACACTGCAATCTTCTACCCCAGCATCCCTGTAACCCTGATTGAGACCATATACCCAGACTCCTTGATTCAGCACAGTGGGGCACTGCCAGGCATCATGATAGGACATAACATACATATTTCTGCAGTAGAAGAAATAGACTCAGAGCAGTATTTTGCTGAAGGCCAGTGGGCTAACTGGCAACTCTAACTACTCGTCTGCCAGATGGCAAAACACTTCTCAGCACTGAATTCTTCCCCACAGATTCTGCGCTTTCATTTCCATTCATCATGTATCAAGGCATGGTTTAAATCTATCCTAAGCCTTCATGAGGCAGTGTGGGAAATGTGGCGATGGCATTTGTCATGGCAAACGTTTGTGTGCTACGGTTAATTCCCAGAAAATCTATCACATATTGGGGTGTCTGATTGGGCGGGGGAGTTGTTCTAAACTTGTGTATCACATGCACGAACTTATTTTACAAGTTTTTTCAACAAATAGTCAATTACATAGCTTAAGAGTTCTTGACTGGGAGGAAAAGAAAGGAATGTTAAGGCATAAGCAGAAACAGCAATTGGTCTGTGAAATAAACCCTCCCATACCCCCATGTTTCACTGTTTCCAAAACAAACATTTGTTCCACACTAACAATTCTGGATTTGGAAAACACTTTTAAGAGATTTGATGTGGCCAGGATACATCACTCACAAGTTTCAAAAGGCACAGCTTTTATTTAGAAACAGAAAGGACTTTGCGAAGAAATATTAAAATAAATTGTGAGGGCCACAATGTACATTCCAGTTCACATGAGTCTGTTGTTTTAAGTTCCAAGAGATGCAATCCTGCCCCCTCTTAAAGCCATTAAAGTCCTGGGTTTTGTACGTATGGATACTTTATGCAAAAGAAGAACATGAGAAGCTCTCCAACTTCATATCTTCTTACTGTATTACTTAGTCTTGACTCCCGCAGCAACATTTGCCCCAACTATTTTGCATATAATTTTCGAAAAATCCTCAAGTCTTATCAGGATTTGGGTTTTTCTCTTGTTGTGCTGAGTTCAACATCTGGGACTGTCCACTGTTAAGAAACCAGCACAGACTAAGAGACTTTATCATTGCTAAAAATCAATTGATTTCTAAACATTTTTCTGACACATAATACAATAAGTTTGATACTTACCAATAAGTGTTCTCCTCCACAGAGCCACACCCTCTGGACAAACATAAGTGAGATCCATACTCTCTGGATAAATAAGTGTGCATCCTCATGGACCTTGGAAGACACTGAAAAGGAAATTCTTCTATTGCTTAAGTGTATGCCTTAATGCCAGTTACCATTCCTCTTACATACTATTACATGGCTGGCATCCCAATTTGAATTCCTCGAAAATGAAATGAGACATTTTATTAATGAGTTAATGGCACATTTCAAATTTAAAAAACTATGCCCAGTCAAGAAAGGAAAATGTACTAGACACTTCTGTGTTTAAATTCATTCTTTAGTTAGCATGAGTGGTGCAAGAAAGCATTTTGTGAAAACATAAATAAATTCTTTGTAGGGAGGGAAATAGCTCTGTCTCCAATAAACCTGCATTATATCTATCAAGAAGATTTCTCTTTACAATACACAATATAAAGAAGCATTAAACAAATCACTGATTTATTCCAAAAGAGAAAATATTTTGGATTCACAAATTCTGGAACTAATCTTATTAAATAAAACTAGAAAACATTTACTGTGAATGGTGCTGTTAAATGGTAAAGGAACTATAAAATTACAAAGTATCTTTGTGCATTTTTAGAGATAACATGCCTGATTATTTTGAAATTAAATAACACAGACTTAAAATATTGAAGATCTAAGACATGTAAAATATCTGGGGTATTGAGGATCATAAATGTGGGAATTTTCAGTAGTTAACAGTAACAGTGAATAGCTCTTTTCACCACAAAAATCACAGTACTTATAAAAGACTTTAAAACTGAGTTAAATATGAATAATTGGAACATGTCAACTCTAAGATACCTTTGACAATTAACTATGATGCCTCATTCTTTTCCCTATCCCTGACTGCCATGTTCCACATTAAAATAAAGGGTGGAGAGAACTAGTTGAGAGCACTGAAAATCAAAATCTAGAGGGAAAACAAAGTGAAGACAGTAAACAGAAATAACAAAGGGATATGTTTTACTCTTCTTTAAATTTGCATTTCAGTGATTAGCAAGGTTCATGAGGAGGTACACATAAAAATATCCTGAAGATCTCTTTCCATAATGGAAATACCAATACCAATAGCAAATATTATGTGACTATTGTAATATCCTGCCATGCAAAATCACAAGAACACCAAGATAAATAAACAAATTTCAAGACCATGGTTTTGAAATTGAGCTTCTAACTGGACTACTCTGCTAAGTAATTTTTACATATAAAAAATTAGGATCATGGGTAATTTCATAAGTAAGGTTTAAAATATAAATATAAGCAAAAATTTAAAACTTTGCAAAGAAAAGATGTGCTTATCAAAGAAACATTTAATGGATGTGATAGCTATAAATAACATTTCAAATGATCCACATTATAGCAAAATTTAATTAATTAAATATTTTTTGAAAAAAATCATAAATGTTTTCTTAGGAAAAAAAGCAGCAATAGAAAGCCTGGGAAGTTTCTATAAGGAACTGGAAACAGGATATTTTTTCTAGTCAGTCATGATAATTTTACCTTCTATCCCTAACCTCTCTCTAAAGTAGCCCAAAGAAAATCTAATTGTAAAATTAATATAATTTTAATTTCATTCAAAGTTATTTATTAAGAACTATAATCATACTAAGTATTCTGGGAAATTGGAAAGAAGCCAAAGACAAGGACCTCTACCCTTGAACGAGTCTCCTTCTGGTTATACACACTCAAACATTCAACAAATATTCATTTAGCTGCATTCAAGGCACTGTGCTGCTA